TTGGGGGTTCTGACAGCACTTAAAACAATCCATACAATCATATCATTGGGAATGAGGGGGAGTGCAGAGTGGAGACCCAAAGCCCATCTGTAGGCAACTGGACATCCGCTTACAGAAGGGTTGCGGGGGCAGGGGTGGAGACGAGCCAGTCAGGGTGCAGTATAGCACCGATGAAACATACAACTTTCCTCTAGTTCCTTAATGCTTCCTCCCCCCACTATCATGATCCCAATTCTACCTAACAAATCTGGCTAGACCAGAGGATATACACTGGTACAGATAGGAACTGGAAACTCAGGGAATCCAGGGCGGATGAACCTCTCAGGACCAATAATGAGAGTAGCGATACCAGGAGGGGAAGGGGAAGGTGGGGGGAGAAAGAGAGAACTGATTACAATGATCTACATATAACCCCCTCCCTGGGGGACGGACAACAGAAAGGGAGAACCAATCACAATGCTCTACATATAACCCCCTCCCTGGGGTTGAAGGGAGACATTGGTCAGTGTAAGACATGAAAAAATAATAATAATTTATAAATTATCAAGGGTTTGGGAGGGAGGGGGGAAGGGAGGAGAAAAAAATGAGCAGACACCAAGGGCTCAAGTAGAAAGAAAATGTCTTGAAAATGATGATGGCAACAAATGTACAAATGTGCTTGACACAATGGATGCATGTATGGATTATGATGACTTGTACAAGCCCCCAATAAAATGATTTTTTAAAAATCCATACATCAATTGTATCAAGCATATTTGTACATATGTTGCCGTCATTATTTTCTAAACATTTACTTTTTATTTGAGCCCTTGGTATCAGCTCCTTTTGTCCATCCCTCTTTCCCCTCTCATGACCCCTTGATAAATTATAAATTATTATTTTCATATCTTACACCGAATGCTGTCTCCCTTCCCCCAGTTTCTGTTGTTTGCTTCGTGTGTGTGTGTGTGTGTGTGTGTGTGTGTGGTGTTATGTGTCGATCATTGCAATCGGTTCCCCCTTCCTCCCCTCCTCTCCCTACCTTCCCCCTATCCTCCTGGTATTGTTACTCCCCTTCCTGTTCCTGGATTCCAAGTGTCCTGAGATCTTATCCCTTATCTGTACCTGTGTACAGGCTCCGGTCTAGTCCAGATCTTGTTCTTTTGATAGTGAGTGTAACACCATTTCTTTTGAATTTGTCACTTTTAGTATAATCAACTATATGATTGTCTGCAGTCCACTTCAGCTCACTAATGCCTAAGATATTGATCTTTATGTATTCCGTTTCATTTTTGACAACTTCCAATTTACTAGATTCACACACCTTACATCCATGTTCTGATGATTTATTCTGATACGTTTTTCACCTTTTCTTTTCATGTTGTTGTGTCTCCTCGAAAAGTGAAGGTCCTGCAGGACTTAACTCCATCCACATCACTATGGTTCCCTCAACTTTGAGGAGGCAGCTCTTCCTCTGTTGTATTTTGAGTGCCTTCCAACCCAAGGGGCACATCTTCCAGGACTGTATCTGGCAATGCTTCACTGCTATTCATAAAGTGTCCAATAGCTCATTCCTCAGAAGCGGACCCCCTACTTCTTCTGAATAGTCTCTTCTTCCTGTGGAAGCTTCACTGAAATCTGCTCCCCTTGGGTGACCCCGATAGTATGTAAATACCACTGACATAGCTTCTGGCATCACAGCAACACTCAAGCCATCACAAATTGGTGGAGAAATGGTCAAGAGGAGAATTAGTAGTTGGGAATATTGTCGTGATGATACAAACGATGCTGGAGATCCCATGGTGGGATTTTTCAAGACCAATGACTTATTCACGGTCAATATCAGTTTTCAATAACATATTGTTGTTGCTGTTGGGTACCAACAAGTCAGTTCTGACTCATAGAAACCCTATGGATGCTACTCAGTCCCAGGCCGCTCTCACCAGTGTCTGTGTGTGAGCCCATTGTTGTAGCTACTGTGTCAATCCATCTTGTTGAGGGTCTTCCTCTTTGTCACTGTTCCTTTACTTTATCAAGCATGATGTCCTTCTGCAGGGATGGGCTTCTCCTGAGTATGTCCAAAGTCTTGTCATCTTTGCCCTTAAGGAGCATTCTAGCTATACTTTTTCCAAGACGGATGTGCTTTTATTTTTTTGGCAGTCCATGGTACTTTCGATATTCTTTTTTCAGCCCCATAATTCAAGCACACCAATTCTTTGGGCTTCATCATTCAATGCCCAACTTTCAGATGCATGTGAGGCAATTGAAAACACCAATGGGTTGGGGTCAGACCCACCTTAGTCCTCACAATTAACCTTATTGCTTTTCAACACTTTAGAAGAGGTCTTGTGCAGCAGATTGACCACTGCAATGTGTTGTTTGATCTCTTCACTACTGCTTTCTTGTCCAACAACAAACTTTGACTACACACAAGATGGAAGAAACAGACACACTTCATCTGTGGGAAGAAAAGTAGCCCTGGTGGCATAGTGATTATGTTGAGCTGCTACTGCAAGGTCAGCAGTTTGAAACCACTAGCCCTTCCGTGGGGGGAAGATGAGATTTTCTAGTCCCTTAAAGAGTTACAATCTCAGAAACCCACAAGGTCACCATGAGTCAGCATTGGCTCCATGGCAGAGAGTTTGAGTTTTGAGTGCGAGGAAAGGATGGAGAGGTTCGATATCATCAGTCAGAACAAGGCCAGGGACTGAAGGGGGAGTTGGTCACATGCAAATTCAGGCTAAAGCTGAAGAATATTAAAACAAGTCCATGAAAGCAGAGTTCAGCCTTCGGTATATCCCACCTGAATGCAAAGATCATCTCAAGAATAGATTTGATGCATTGAACTTAATGACCAAAAGTCAGATACATTGTGGGATGGCATCAAGGACATTATATAAAAAGGTCATTGAAAATACAAGAAAGTCCAGAACAGATGCTCTGATATTTTCTCTTGAATATTAACTAAAGCAACTGAGAGGATGGCGCAGGGCAGTGCCGTGCTGTGTTCTGTTGTGCACAGGGTTGCTTTGGGTCAGAGTTGACTCGATGCACCCAACAACAGAGCAAGTGGAAGGAATGAGGTGAAAGAACTGGTCAGTAGGTTTCAAGGGGTGGCTCAAGGAGACAGTCTTATAACGAAATGTGTGAAGACCTTTGCTTAGAAAACAAAAGGGGAAGAACACTCAGCATTTCTCAAGCTGAAAGAACTGGATTTTTTTTAAATCAAGCTTTGTGTTGCAAGGTTGGTTTCTATGGACAAAATATTGAACTATCCAGGAGGCATTTACAAAATCTCGAAGGACCGGTACTATTGCACCCAAAAGCATGAGTACATGTTCACCCAGGTCAGGACGTAGCATATGATCCAAAACCAGCCATTCTGACGGAAGAAGTTCAAGCCAAGCTGAAGGTATTGACCAAAACAAGGCTCTAGGAAATGGTAGACTATGAATTGAAATGTTTCAGCAAACGGATGCAACTCTAGAAACATTCTCTAGTCTATGTGCATATCCAAAAATCTGATAGAGAGCTACCTGGCCAACTACTTGGAGAAGATCCATATTGGTGCCCAGACTTAGACCCACAATCAAAGCCCATGGAAGCAGCAGTCAAGAAATCAAACGTGTTGCATTTGGCAAATCTGCTGCATAAGCCCTCTTTAATGTTAAGAAAAACAGACGTGTCTCTTTGAGGACTAAGGTGCATTTTATCCAGACCATGGTATTTTCAGTCGCCTCATATACATGGAGAAACCGGTCAATGCATAAAGGCAGACTGATGAAGAACTGATGCATTTAAATGACAGTGTTGACAAAGAACAATGACTATACCACAAACTGCCCGAAGAATAAACAAATCTGTATTCATTTATGGTCCTTCATAACAAGGGTGGTGAGATTCTGTCTCGTAGTGTGGCGATGTCACCAGATGGGCCAGTCCCTGGAGAAAGGCCATCAGGTTATCTTGCGTGTTAACTCAGAGCATCAGCAAAAAAAAAAAAAGAAGACACTCAATGATACGGTTTGGTGCAGGGGCTGCAGCAAAGGGCGCAAACATAGCAGCAGTGGTGATGATGACACGGGACCAGGCAGCGTGGGGTTCTGTTATACGAGCACATGGGTGGCTGTGAGTTGGAACCAACTCCACAGTAACTAGGGATAACTGTGATGGACTTCACTGAAGATTCTGTGTGGCTGGGGGGGCTCATGGGTGACAATGATCCTGGTGACACCACTGGCTTTGAGGAGGAAGAGTGGGCAGTGCATATAATTAGTGTTGACCATCTGCTGAGGACTAGGTAGTCTCTGAATCTGAGTCTCAGAGCTGCCCTTTGAGTCTGGCTTGCCTGAAGAGCTTAGCCCCCCTGTCAGCATCTGACTTACACGTGGAGAGTTACACACACTCAGCCAATTCTTAAATATCCTGAGAACAAAGCCTAGAGATGGCTGATACATCGGGGTCCTTTCATTACTTTTTAAAAACCTCCATACCTGTTTCGGTTCTCCTTTGGCAAATCCTACTCTGTAGTATTCCAGACAGGTAGTAATGCTGATCTTTTATCTCAAGGCTGTGTGTGTGGTTTTGTTCTGGGGTGGTGTGGCTGGGTTAAAACAGAATTTTCTGAAAATGTAAGCATATTAGGGCCATGCCTGACCCCCTTTTCCTACACGGACTTCACAATGTGCTACCAGCTTCATCACCTGCATTTGGTTGTTGCTGAGCAAAATACTCTGCCCGCTTATCTTTAAATGGACCATGTACTTTTACCCGTAAGGCTGCAGCTCACTTATCCCTTTCTCAGGGGACTTCCTTGAGGATTGACTTTGCCAGCATTCTCCATGTTTACCCATTTATCGACTGAGTTTCATGTGACTATAAAAATGTTAGTTTTTTAATACCCAGTCCAAATAGCACCTAGTATCGCTAAAAAGGCTGAGTCTCCTCTCAGGCAGCTCCCCAGTGGAAGAATACTTCTTGGAAGAGGTGACCGTCAATATCAAACAATACGAGGAAGGCCATTAGGTACAAAATACTTATGTATTTATGAATTCATGACCAAATTAAATATGAAACCTTTATAAAAAGAGGTGTTTTTTCTCCCCCATCCTCCCTCTGAAACAGCTCTGACATCAGTATAGGGGTGTATATTTTTGCTCTTAAATTCAGTTACCTTTCTCGCCTTTTTGTTTTCAGACATTCCCTCCATAGGTGTGTTCCACTCATTTGCTTCCCCTGAATTTCAAAGTGCAGGGTTCTGGGGGGATTGGAATTCAGCACCTCCTCCCCCTCCTTCCACTGCCTGTCCTTCCCTTCTTAGGCGAGGAGACACCAGCGTGGACCTGGCTCCCTCATAGCCTCCAAGGGTGGTTCTCTGGGTTGCACCTGGGGCTGCTAGGCTCCCGTGTGGTAGCAATTGGCTCTGGCTGAGCAATTGGGGAAGGGGCAGTGGATCCCTGAGGGGTTAGCTGGCCCTGACGGTTGGGGTAGTTCTGTGGCCACTCTCGTTGCTTCCTCCAGTTACTTGGCCAACCTTAACTTTCCCCCAATGGCCTCCTTTCCATGCTAATCAGTGGGCTCTGATTGCTCAGCTTGTAAGCAACCTGGGAGACCTAGTTCCTTTCTCTTTGGGACTCTGCTCTCCCTCTCACCCATGTCCCAAGAGCCCCCGCAGACTCCTCTGACTCCTTTCTCCAAGTGAAGGCACAGGGTCCAGAGCTACTCTTACCCATGGGCACCCTTCCCTCCTGCCCCTACTTCTAAATTCATTCTTTCCTTTGAAGCCAGCTAATATGAACGTAAGTGAAGGTAGGCCAATCCACCAGCAGAGGGCATCTCAGACCTGCTGACCACACCAGTTGCCCTGGAGGGGGACTCCTAGAGGAAGCCGGTGCCTCTCAGCCACCTGAGATCTGCTTGACCCCCCCCCAACGTCCTATTCATCCAGATGATTTAGCCACATCTCTGTTGGTCTCGGCACCACAAAACCATTGCAGTCAAGGGTCACCTGTTTCAGGGTTTGCTCTATCCCAGGGCACTTAAAAGCATCTTCGTTGAGATGGTGAGCTCAGGTTCCAGGGCCTCATGTTTGCCCGGACTCTGCCACTCTTCATTAGGAGGCAGACTTAGAAGTGTAAAAAGTGGGGAATGAAAGTCTGTTCAAGATCCAAAAATGGGGGAGTCCATTGTGACCCATCATTTGCTCCCACGGGTTCTACAAGCGATTGCTTACATTCTTCCTCTTCTCCGGATGGATCTTGCTTGATTTTCCCCCTTTGCCCCAAACCAGCACTCTATGGTTAGGCTTCTATGTCCTACTATCCATCCCCACTGGGACTCACTCTAGCTCGGTGTCCACGACCCCGACTTTGACCCCTACCTGCCCACACCCACCATTCACACAGCAGACACCCTGTGGGTCTCTCTGAGGGTAAAGAGGATGACCTGCTTCTTAAGATGGACAGAGTAGCCATAGTCCAATGCTGTGTTCAGAGGCCACACTCAATCACCAGCAGGTTGGGGGCCACGAACTTGTGCTGCCCATGGGAGCCAGCCCAGCTGGGCCAGGGTACTCTCACGCCAGGGTGGCAACAGTTCTTCCCGAATGGCATTGAAATCTGGGATTCTACCCCCAAGCCTTTGCCTCCACAGGCACCTTTGTGTGGCTTTAGTCATATGGAAGTTATAACAGGGTCTTTTCCTGTTTTTCACTCTTTGCAGGGAAGAGTTTCTGTTGGTGATTTTTAAAGGTTTCTTTTTTTTTTTTTGGACTTTGGCCCCACCCCATAAAAAGCAGTGCTAACCAAAAGCGTTGGAAAGGTTCCAGAGGAGCGTGGGGTTGCTGGGCACAGACTCCCACCCCCTCCCTTTCTCATTCCTCACCCTACCCCACTTGCTCCCCTTGCATCCCTTAGCCAAGTCTGAAGGAGACTGGAGGGAGCTTAAGGAGCGTGGGGGCGGAGGAGCAAGGGAGGAGTTTCTTGTTGCACCAAGAGGCACTGCTTCTAGGCTTGGTATTCTGAACAAGGTCCTGTCACCCTTTAGCAGGCTTGGATTGCCGACAGCCCTTGGGAGGATGCTGGCAGAACATCAGCCCATCCACCTGTGGTCTCTTGCAGCTACACCCGAGGAGCTGGAAGCCTGGAGTGGGCTCTGAAGGCTAATCTCTACCCTGACTTCTCTAGTGAGGACTGCAGTAGGTTCCATGTAGAAATGGCCACCAAACATTGACAACCCTCAAATCCATGGGCGCAAAAGCACAGTCAGTAGTAGAGGCAAGGTCTCCCTGCTCACGTCTTTTCACTGGGAGTGGGGGCAGCCTCCCTGGCCGTAGCAAAGACCAAGACTCACATCTACAAACCCTAGAGTTTTGTGGATGGGGGGTGGATTTTCCCCCTTTGACCCTTAGGTTCTCAAACCCAGGGCATAAGTGCCAGAATTCTTCGCTCTGTCCCTGCCCTCTGCCTCCAAGCCATTGTCTCCTGCCCTGCTTGGGGCCTGGAGACTCTGAAGGTGGGCCCTGTCCTGATCCACAGGGCCCAGCTCCTCTCTCACTGAGCTGTGTTGGCTGGCCAGAACAGCTCTGCCCTCAGGGTCCTGGTTATGTGGGTCCCCTTGTCCCTGTCAGGTGGAGGCGGGATGCAGAAGAGCAGGGGGGCAAGGACACAGGGGGACGATAGCAGCAGGGTCAGAAGAGGGTGGCGGCGTCTCAGACCACAGCCGAGGAGGAAGACGGGGAGGAGGAGGAGGCCGCAGAAGAGGAGGGTGAGGACGGGCCATTCCAGAAGAGCCACCGCCGCTTGGGCTGCCGTTTCAGGTGGAGATAGTCCTCTTTTTCCCGTTCCTTCCGGGCCCTCTGATAGTGGTCTTCTTCCTTCAGGTACCAGACAGGTGGCCACCGGTGCTTCTCAAAATACTCCTGGTTTTCTAGAGCAGAAGACAGTAGGGCTTGGTTACAAGAGAAGGAGGGAGGCGGGCACGGGGACACGGGGTGTGACCAAGGGACCCCTTTCCCCACCCTGCTGCCACTAGAGCCTCCAGCCAACTGTCTGTCCACACACTGGTCCCTGAGGTCCAAGGAGAGCAAGACCCCGGCCCTGACTTTAGGGAGCCTCCTGTCTTGCCACCCAGTTCAGCAAAGGGAAAAGCCCAACGAGTGGTCCTGATGAACCACGCTGGGGAAGGAGCATCTTGCTGGTTTTCTCTAAAGGCACAGGGAAGATGAGACCGCGACTCATCATTTGCATTTTCGTGAATGAAACCAGACTGAGGCAGAGGCTGGAGGAGAGAGCAAAGGGGTAACCAGGCAGTGAGGGGCTGAGAACCAAATGAGCTGGCCGGAGCTAAGGTTCCGGAGGAGAACTGGAGCGGCAAGCTGCAAGCACAGGGCTCTAGCTGGAAGCAAGCTAGTCTAAGAGGGTTGGATTTCTTCTGGAAAGCACGGGGGGCTAAAGGTTGGGAGCCAGGGGGGCAATGCAATTGGAGTTGTGGTTTAGGGGGTGGAAAAACCCCACAACAACCCTGGAAGGATTGTAACCAATGTACAAAGGAGGAGAGGGGGTGGGGGTGGGAGGATTGCAGGGAGGGTGCTCACTGCCGAGGGCAAGGACCCCAGGCACCAAATGTGAGCGCTCCCAGGAGCATGGGTAGCAGAGCCCTCCACGAGGCCAGGGCTGCCCACCCTGGAGCCTACACAGCCCAGCTGGGCTCTAAGGGCAGAGCCATCCCATGGAGAAGGCGTGGGCGGCAGGAGACCTCAGCAGGTGTGCAGACCTGGGCTTCCCAAGCTCTGACTGGCACGCCTCTCTAAGCTGTGCAGCCCACTCAGTGGGTCATGAGCAGCCTTTAAAAAGTTTATGTACTTTTCTATATGTGTACAGAGTCACAAAAATGAGATATATTAACTTCCTGTACAAAATTCTCGTCAGGGAAAAACAGTCGAAAAAAAACACCAACCGGCCCCCAAATAAAACAAAACAGGAAAAACACCAACTCTAGTCCCCACCCTCTTTGTGCCGCTGAACTACTCAAAATCACTAAGCCAGCTGGTTGGCAGCCAGCCGGTTTACAGCTCGGGTCCCCTGCCCTGCAGGACAGTCCTGTGCCTGGGGCCCACTTTGCTTGGCTGGCTTCATCTCTGCAAGCTATTCCCAAGCCCGATGGCCAGATGAGGCCCCGGGAGCACCGGCAGCTTCCTAGTGGTGCACTGAGGTCAACTTAGAGCTGTGGACCCACGTGAAGGCCCCGGCAGCCTAGGAGAGCAGCAGGCCCTGGTAGGGCTGGCTGCGGCAGCTCACCTGGGGACATGGCTTTCATGTCTCGGGGAAACTTGCGACACACGTTGTTGTAGTTGGTGCAAATGTGGTGAAGGCACCAGTCCGCCAACTGGTACGCACAGTGGAACTGGGGACAGAGCAGAAGATCATTTGTGGTGTGCCCCTGGCCCCTGTGCAGACGCTGCGGTTGACTGGGGCTATGGCTTTGGTGCCCAGTGGGCAAAGGCCCTGCTGACAGAGTGCCCACCTTCAGAAGCAACCCCCATAAATTGCCGGGAAGCGATGCTTGCTTCAGGGTCTGGCCATGACCGCTTTCACCTCCCCTTTGTCCTGCCCCTGGGCTGTCATACCACAGATCTCCCGGGGTGGATCCAAGGCCAACGTGGTGGCTTCCTACCACGTCTGCTCCTCAGACCTCAACCCAGATGCTGGCCACCTCCCCTTCCCGTCAAGGGTCCAACGCCATCCGCATGAGGGTGGGAAGAACCAGGCTTGGGGAACTACCTTGCCCAGGTGGGCCTGCAAGCCTTGAATCAGCCACGCTTTAGGGTTATAAACTGATCTTTAATCATAGATGTCCCGGCACTGTGAGGGCCAGTGCCAAAACTTTGGTTTGCTGGGCTGCTCGTCACTAAGTGGGTGGGGGTCATCAATTTTAGACGGAGCATTCTCAGCAACCAGCCTAAGCATGAGGTGGGCTATTCCCTTCCTGCTCTCTGGCTGGCTGGAGTCTCAGTCCCTTCCTTCTGTGGCCAGCGTTTGCTGAGTGCCCCAGGGAGTGCTCTCGCCGCTTCCTCAGTTAGGAGGTGAGATGGCTCTGTCTCATCGGGGGCTGCAGGAAACCAAGCCTGACCGTGGGTTTGCTTCGTACCCACTACCTCCCAGTGCGCCCCCTTCCACTGCCAATGGGCAGAGAGAGCCTTCTTCCCCCGCCATTCTACCTGAGCCAGTTCCAGGAACACAAGGACGTCTCCATCGATGTCCACCATCATCTGGGTGGCTGCCATCAGCCCGGTCACTGTGTACTGTTCTGTGGCACACACAGCGAGACATCAGCTGAAGAACCTCATGGGTGCCATGCAGCCCCTGGTGCCCCCCAGCAGGAATTCATTGCAGAACAAAGAGAGATCAGAGCCAGGGACGAGTCCCAATAGGCCAGGCCAGGCTGCCTGCGATTTAAGTCCCACCAATGGGTAATCTGGACCAAGAGCAAGACTTTTCCAGTGAGTCCCGGGGTCAGGGAGTGGAGGAGGACATTAGAATTGGAATTGGGGCGAGAGATCCTTTCAGCTATATATGTCCCACCGAATATTCTGATACACCTCGGGTGAAAGACCGCAGTATATTAAGCCACTGATGCTGAGGGGAAAGGTACTAAGCCCCAGGTTTATTGAAAACATTTTTTCGACAGTTTTATTGGTACTTCATCTACATCGCCTACAATTCAATAACTCAGTCATATCAAGAAGAGTTGTACCATCGTCACCACAACGAATTCAAGGACAGTTTCTTCTTCCTTGTCCTCATTTAAAAGATACATTTAAAGAGGAAAGAAGGCTGATCAGACCTGTGGACATATAGTTTAAACCGACTTGTTTGTATTCCTTTAAATTTTGTAGCCAGATGTGTAGTCATCTTGCCGCTCACTTTAAAATGTTTATATCTTAAAAGTTAAATAAACACCCTTATATTTGTATTAATCTTTATACTTAAAAGTCAAACAAACATCCTTACTCTTGAATTTTAATTGTAAACGGCCCAGAAACAATAACCAGCCCAATAGAAAGGCATCCCTCGTGCTCCGATTACCGTCTTCAAACACCAGTCCCATCTCCGAGTGAAAGGAAAAAGAGCTCCTTGGGAAATGCTGATTCCAGGTCGGGGCCAGGAAACGAACCCAATAAAATATGGAGGAGTTTGTAATATCAGATAAAAAGGAAATGATTCAAGACTCAGGAAGTAACTTAAAGGAACTCCCATTCAAACTGTAAGAAGAAAACAAACATCAGGAAGGAAAACAAGAAGAAGAAGGAAGAAAGCACAGAAACACCGTGTCGTCAACTCAATGCCGGCTCATCGCCCCGTCAGACAGCAGAAGGCCCCTGTGGGGCCCAGGGCAGGGTCTTTCTACACAGAAGCAGACGGCCACCCTTGTCTCCCTCAGAGAGGCTCGTGGGGTCACCTGGAGCGTTTGACCCCACCACCCCCAGGAGAGCCATCGAGTATATTTATATCTGATTTCATCATCAAAATGGGAAATTAAATCCCCAAATCGAATTGGCCATTTGTAGAGGCTGAAGCGAAACCAATGTTATCTTGGAAACTGGTAAATAAAAGGGACACTCGAGCCTTCACCCGACCGTCCCTAAAGGAGCTGTACCACTGGGCGACAGAACAGCGGACGAGGGAAGTGTCTCTCTTCGTTAGACGTATTCCAACAGATAAGAGCTCTAGTCCACCCAGCGACCATCTACTTCGGAAAGAGCAGCCATCAGGAACTCTAGGGACACGGCTGTCTTCTGAAGACCATGGCTCACCGTGGGTCTGACATCCACGTAACAGCAGCCGGCTAGGTTCTGATTTTTAATGAGTTAATCGATCACTGGAAAAGGCATTCAATATTGTTTTCTATCAGCCTTCCACGTGCATGTGCAGCTTAATATTTTTAATGGTTATGTAATATTTTTAAGGACTTCACCTTGCTTGTACCCACAATCAATGTTCCTAGAAGCAGCTGTTAAGAAATCGAACATAGGTAAATCCGCTCAAGACCTCTTTGACATATGAACATGTAAGGATGTCACTTTGAGGACTAAGGTACACCTGACCAAGCCATGGTGTTTTCAGTGGCCTCCTAGGCATGTGAAGGGTGGACGCTGAGTGAGAAGGACAAGTACCACGGATGCATTTGAGTTCCAAGTGTTGGACGAGAACACTGTAAGTACCATGGACTGCCGCTAGAACAAACTGACCCGTCTTGCACGCAGCACAGTCAGAATGATGCTTAGAAGCAAGGGTGTCAAGACTTCACCTCACACACTTTGGACACGGTATCAGGAGAGACCAATCACCAGAAAAGGACATCAAGCTTGGTCAAGTAGAAGGGCAGCCAAAAAGAGGGAGACTGTCAAGGAGATCGACTGACATGGTGGCTGCTACCTTAGACTACAATATAGCAACAACTGCGAGAATAGTGTTTAGGCAACGGGGCTTCTCGGATTCGCTTCCAATTGTCTCCCATTGTGAGGGAAAAATATATATATACACCTTTTTATATTTTCTCTTTGGGTCCTTTCTCTGGAGATAGTCTTCTGAAAGGGAAACCACTGGTCCAAGAGTTTGAATGGTGTTATGTACTCTTGAGAAGCTCACCTCATTTTTCATAGATAGCCACAGGTGACATACTAATACAGCAGTCTTCTCTTGCTTAGTGCCTCTCTTTTGCTCCCTGAAATTTCCGGCACTCCCAGCTGGGGCCCCCGAGTTGCTTCTGCAAGCTCCCCTGCTCGTATTTTAGTACTGCTAAAGAATTTCGCTTTCTCCTAGAACTCAAAAAAACCCACACCAAATGCGTGCCATCAAGTGGATTCCAACTCACCAGGCCCCCCTGGGTGACTGAGAAGAACTGCCCCACGGGGTGTTCTTGGCTGTAGTCTTTGTGGGAACAGATCACAAGGCCCTTCCCTTTTGGCACCATTAGGTGGGTTTGAACCACCAACCTTTAGGTTAGTAGTCTACTGCAAACCATTTGCACTACCCAAGGACTGTCTCTATGACTAGGTCCCACCTTCCAACTCATTTCCCATCATTGGATTTCTGTTTTCCCTCCTATCTGAGCTCCAATCTTGATCATCTGCCTAGATCCCAGCAGTTCTGACACTGGGGTCTTACCCTGAATTCCAGCGCCATGTCTGGGACCCTGCTCCTTGCCTCTAGCTAGACTTTCCAAACAAGATTAACACCGGCATTGGTACCAATGTCGACACCAACATCAAAGCCAACACCAGACTTCAACAGCCACGGAAGCTGCCAGTCTGCCCGGCTCTCGAGACACAAGCTTCTTTTACCAGGACAGTGCAGGCTCTCTTCTCCAGCCCCGTGACCCCGACCACCTGCCTGCATGGCCTCTCTACTGCCCCAGTGCTTGTTCTGCCCTCGCTCCAACATCTCAAACTCACTGCCACGGGGTCGATTCAGACTCATGGAGATCACCCAGCCGATATGTGGAATCGGCCCATTCTCAATGCTCCGCTCCTCACCTGTCTGCTCGTCATTCTGTGATGATTTGTATCTTACGGTGATGCTGGAAGTTATGCCACCTGCCACCCGTGGTGGACAAGTCTCAGCAGAGCTGCCAGACAAGACAGACTAGGATAAAGGACTGGGCAATCTACGTTTGCTTTTTAAATCATTTTACTGGGGGTTTGTACAACTCTTATCACAATCCATCCATCCATCCATTATGTCAAGCACATGTGTACATGTGTTGCCATCATCATTTTCAAAACATTTTCTTTCTACTTGAGCCCTTGGTATCAGCTTCTGGCAATCGACTTTTATCGGCGTTGCTGTCTGAGACAGTGCTGGGAGATGGCTTAGCTGCACTCAAAAGACAAAGGACCATGAATCTGCTCCTCAAAGTAGAAGGGGCCTCAGTGATGTGGTAGAGCAGTTTTCAGGACCTTCATTAGCTGATGTAGCAGGCATGACTCGAAACGAGAATAAACAGCTGAAAACATCCATTTGTAACCAGAGCATGGGATGTATGAATATAAGATAATTAAAAGGTGTCAAAAATGAAACAGAATGATTAAGATAGAGACCCAGGGCATTAGTGAGCCAAAATGGTACGTTATTGGTCATTTTGAATTGGACAATGATATAGTCTACCCTGCTGGCACAACAAATTGAAGATGGCCAATACTGTCCAAAAAAACCCACAAAAACTGTTTCAATATCTATTCTTGAAATATAATGTTGTCAGTAATAGGACAATGTAGGGTCATATACATATATTGCTAGGAAGACCAATTCATATAGCCATGATTCTAATTAATACACCAATCATAAATGCCAAAGATAAAGAAATGAAAGATTTGACCAATGTATATAATCTATACATTGCAAATATGCAAATCAAGATGCACTGAGAATTGCATTGAATTGCAATTAATTGAAATGTGGACGTTAGAAATAAAAAAGCAGTAGCTGCAAAATATGCCCTTAGTGATAGAAAGGATGACAGAACTGCCAAACAGAATTGTGCAAAACCAATGACCCTCGTTGGAAATAACTTCTTTAAACACGACATCTGTACCTAGATGCCTCAGCCGATGGCGTGCACAGGAATCAAATCCACTACAGCTGTGGAAGGGATTAGGACACGCTCAGTTCTCACCAGTCAGGACAAGGCCAGGGGCTGACTCTGGAACAGATTATCAATTGCTCATATGCAAGTTCAAGCTGAAACCGAAGAAAATTAAAAGTCCGCCAGGGCCAACATAGGACTTTGAGGGAATCATAGAGATCATCTCGAGAATGGTTTTGATGCAATGAACACTCAGGACTTGACAGCCAAAAGGAGACCAAAACGATCACGCACGACGAAAGCACAAGAGCATGAACTCGATGGTAAAGAAAGCAAAGCCCAGGTGGAGGTCAGAAGAGACTCTCACCTTTGCTCTCGACCAAAGAATAGATCACGTCAAAGAAAGGACGACGGAAAAGAGCCGAACGGAAGAATCCAAAAGCTGCCTCATGGAAACAAAGTAAAGCATTCTGATGAACGGTGCAGAGATCTGGAGTCAGGAATCCAAAAAGAAGGAACATGATCAGTGCTTTTCAAGCTGAATGAACTGAAGAAAAATTCAGACCTCAAGTTACAATAGTGAACAACATATCAACCTGTGTGATCACGGGGTGTCGAACGGATCACTGAAGACAAATGGGTGCATAAGCAAATGTGG